GAAAATATACCACGAATACAATCAGGTTACACAGCTCAAATACAAACTAGTTATACACCACTTAGACAAGAATTTAGAGAGAGCGATGTCATTTCACCTACTCATCTTCAACAATTACAATTACAATATAGGCATAGTGACATGTCCACGTCGTTTTTAAGGAGTAGCAGGAATTCGATATTTCAATCGGAAATAAGAGCCGCTCATGGTGACCCAGACGACCCTTTATTAAATAATAAAAATAACCCTTATAATATTAAACTTAGCACTCGATCCATCTCTTTGCCCCAGAAACTTGACCCTCACTATCAACTGCAAAATAAGGACATTGAGGGTCTTACATCACCTGTTTCTCCTGGTACGATAACCGTAACTCCATTACTTAATGGTTCAAATGCAAATAAAAAATCAAAAGGTTTAATAGTGTGCGTCTGTTTTAGTCTTATTGCTGGAATAATATTTACTTGTAAGTAATCTTTCTAAATATTTCATTCTATTTTTAATTATGTTACAAATTATCTTTAATGCTTTGTTTACAATTCATAATTATTAAAGTATGGGCTGTAACTACTCTAATGCCACATTACACTAATGACCAAAGTTCAGGACAGAGTATAAATCCTAAGGTTAGTATAACAAGTGATGGCAATTTTTCCGACAAAAGCATTTTTTTTTTTTTTTTTCGTATTGGCCGGTCAAAAAAAAAACCTTTCAAAATAGCCAAATTGCTAATCGCTTTGATCGAGCAATACTTTTTTGGCTAGGAACGTTGCCAATACTGAGTATAATTGAACATTTTCATGCAAATTTGATTTTACGCTATGTGTTAACTAATAAATGACATTACTCTTTTATTTGTTTAGCAACAAATACCAACGACATGATAACCCTATTTTGGGGTGTGATAGAATTATGTTGATACGTATATGGTTTTATGTTGATATCCATGAACGTATAAACAAAAAATTTATCTTCTAAATATATCCGAATTTATTTCTTATACCTTTGTCCCTGTTTGTAAAAAGCAATGTAAATTAATTTAAAATAATTGTATTTAATAAAAACTCTATATATAACGATTGTAACTTTATGATTCAATTTCTACTGATATCATTTGTCACATGTTTAAAACGATAAAAAAATAAGCTGATCTAGATTCTGCATATTGATTAATAACAATCAAAAAGAAGTCTATATTGAACTTAGTTTAAACCTTTTCATAGACGGATTTGGAAATAAAGAGTAATTACACATTTTTCTATTTTCTGGATTCTGATTCGCATATATTTGATAGACTAACCACTTAAACTATAGCATTTATGCATGTTTATTTAATAATATATTCAAATTTTTGTATTTGATTATAATACGTATAAAATATGCAAGGTTATTTAAATATATAAGTCATATTTCAAATTTCCATTTTTAAATAGAAGCCGTAGAAAACTTTGATCGAAGATATTCAGCATCCACTTGATCAATTTCGTTAAAGATTTTTTATTTTAAAAAAAATTTATTGCGTTGTAAAGGGCAAAATTTCCACGCTGAAACACGATTCAAAAAATTCCTAGGATTAAAGAAATCCTTGTTATTTGCCTTATCATTGTGATTTTCCAAATACTTAGGATATCCTAATCCATAATAATTTTAGCGTTAGTATTTCCTATTATTTGTATTATTTCATTACGGTGGCACTCCTTTCCCTGACAATTTTTTCCCAATAAGGTTGGGTCTGATTTTAGTGTTGGAGGTATTTGATGTCAGGGAAATGATTGTCGGTTGTTATAATAGAAAATAAGTATATAATTGTTCAAATTTTTTACTAAGGGAACATAGCCTGTTAAACTTATTAGAGTCGATTTATCCGAACTCTAATAGGTTTAACTGTTTTAGGTAATTTTACTTCTAAATGCACCCCCGGAAATTTTACGATGCGATATTTTGGGGAGGAAATCAAAATTAAAAAACTGGAAGAAATTGCCAAAATAACACTAAGAAAACTATCCCAATAAGATGAATTTAATTACAGTATCTTAAGATCATATTATCAGATCTCACCATTAAGCGTGTGAACCATTATAATAAAAAGTACTATTAAATTTGGAATCTAAAGTTTCCCAAAAGATAACTTATTTTTTTATTAAGTAAATCTTATTTGTGCTTCTAATTAAAGTTGTAGAGGTAAAATTTTCGGTTATAATAGTTGTTAAACCGCTAAAATCGGCCCGGTGTATCGTGATACATGAGCGTTTTAATCTTCGCGGCTATATGATTAAAACGAAGAAATAAACATATAGTTGCAAAGATTAAAAGGTTCATATTTCGTGACCTACCAGGACGATTTTAGCGTTTTAACTACCATTATAACCGGAATTTTTGTCTTTATAATTTTTATTAGGAGCATAAATAAGGTTTACTTAATAAAAATAAGTTATCTTTCTGGAAGCTTCAGATTTCAAAGAAAGCAAAAAATACATAGTAAACATATTTCTACTTTTTACTATAATATTCACTGGTTTTTATGCAGATCACGAATTAAATTAACTTTTAGCTTACAATCATCTATATACAATTCTTCTCATCAATTACTTATATCAAAACTTTATAAGAAAACAAACATAATATTTTATAAAAAATTTTTTTATTTTAAGTAATATTTATTATAAAGAATATTATTAACAAAGTGAGAACTTTAGTTTTTTATAGTTTTAGTAGAGGTGAAACTTTTTGTTTAGTGAATTCTTCTATTTTATTTGAAATCTAAAATAGAAGAAAAGATATTTCTAATAATATAATTCTTTAATAATAAAGACTTATTATAGAAAAATTGGTTATAAATTTATAATATACTTTTTAAATATGAAGTTAGAATATTTGCATTCTCTTTTTTTTAGTTATTTTTTTAAAAAAATAAAGAATTTGCTTATTTTTTCTAAAAAATCTGTATAATATAATTATTTTCTTTTTTGGTTTTGTAATTATATAACTTTATATAAAGATAATAGATATATAAGATAGTTTATTAAATAGATCTAGTAATCTAGTATAGTAGTTAGATTACCAGATTACTATATAATAGTTTTGGAGTTTAAATCTCACTATTGACAAATTTGAATAATTTTTCAGACCTTGTGACATGTTATAGTAAACTTTATTTATTTTTGGAAGTATACTCCTATAAATTAATTTGTACTAAATTGATCTGAACTTAGAAGTATAATATAATATTATACAAATATATCTTGATAGAATATATAAACAGAGAATCTGTATAGTAAAAATCTTAAGTTAATAAAATAATATAGCTTTCTGACAGAACTACATCAGTTAAAATTTGATTTGAAAAAAAAACTCAATTTAATAAAGATAGAAGATTTTAAGATTTCTAGAAGAAGAGTAACTAGAACTAGTTAAATATTAAAAAAGAACTAGGTCAACTAACTTGTAGAAAATTATAATAAAATCTGAAGTTATACAAATATCTACAAGAGTTTAATCTAAATAAATCTGTAAAATAAATATAGACTACTCTAGTAGATTTGTTTTAAAGTTAACTAGCTTTATAATATTTACAATATATTATATTCTAAAAAGATCTAAACTATTCTAGATAAATAGATATATAACAAGCTAGCTAGTTTAAATAGTTAGATATTATAGTAATATTAGATTAGATCTGTATAAATTAATAAATAGAATGGAATAAATAAAAAAGGAACTCTTTTCCGTAACTCACCATATCATACTGCGCCAAGATAGAAAAAGTAAAAAAAAAGTAAAAACAAGGAAAACCTTCCACTAGAAAGGACTTTAAATAAAAGAAAACTAACTCTACTACTCAAACCAATACTCACAAACTCAAACAACAACTTCAACATACCTAAGGATACTAAAAAAACCGAAAAAAGGCATCGCCTCTCTAAAAACAACATCAATATCGCTTCCTTTAACAACAATAATACAACAAATGACAACAACAAGAATATAACAATATCAACAAATACATCAACTCCAGAACCTGTCTCTACTTAACTCGAATATCCAAAAAAAATCTTTGATCTAATTATTATTAATGCAACTAAACTTACTTACAGAATTACTTTTATTATCCCCACTTCACATGACTAACAACAGCTCTATACTATAGACTACAAGAAGACAACTACTATACAAAATGTAATCCTACACCTAAAATACTAGATTGACTATACTTCTAACAGCGACTCTGCTCTCCTCTTCACCCTTACAAAACTACCTAACAATGCTATAAATATTACAGCTATCAAAATTACAACTAGTATTGCTCAATCCTCATTACTTATCTAAACCTATTGCAATACTAAGACTAACTACTTCACTACAAATACTTATAAACAAAACTCAGCTCTTCCTACTATTTCTTATAATATAGCAATTCTTCTCAATACTACACCTACAACAACTACACCAAATACTCATGTACTATCTCCTGAATTTAGTGATACATTACCAATAGATACCAATAATACACAGCATACTGATATATATATTACAAAGGAACTCAACTCTGATTTGATCACCAATCCTGATACACAAATTACTAACATTTATCTACAAACAAAGACTGAAGGCTCTAGTATAACAAATAACTAGAACTAATCATAAGCTGACTAAATGGAAGAAGATACAAACAACTAATCTATATCCCCTATATCTCCAAAAGCATATAGTAACCGATCAATATCTCCTACATTATGCAAAACATATGATATATATATGGATGAAAATAAAAATAATGAAAACATACATGACTTCTATACTAACAACTTAGTATCTGAAGATAATAATACTAAATCTTCTTATAGCCAAGCCTTTCAGAATAACCTCACTTCAACTTCAAACTTCTATAATAATGAATATAATGATAGCGAAACATAGCCTGATATACTTATAGCTAATATGAACTCTGATCTTAACAACTTTAATACAACTACTTGGTACTACGAATATATTATCAAAGCTCTTGAGTCTACTAATAGCATTTAAGAACTAATTACCTACAAGCTGCAAACCAAACCTATCCCCCACAACATTCTATCTGCTATACTACTAAAATTTTTTTTTTTTTTTATTTTTAAGGTGGCTTACATGGCCGAGCGAATTTTATTAGTTTGATATATGAGGTTCCACAT